ATTTACTTGATACAGCTGTCGTGGCTGTGACGGTTCCACCTGAAGACGGAAGCTTTTGTTGCCTCCGAAACGTCGTGATTTTTTTTTATTTAACTTTTATTAATTTTAATGTTTTACCTACGTGACTTTACCGAAAAAACCTAAGAATATGTAATTAACCAGTTTCATCTGTGATAAAACAGTATTACTGGGGATACATTATTCACAATCACTGAACCAATTCTTACAAATGACAAATGGAGTTAGTTCACCACTACAGTGGTGGATAGAGGGAGAGGTAAAACAGGAACACATACACATGCCAAACATAACCTTGCACTATTTTTCTTTCCCCATACTTGTCTGCAAGAACAATTTATAAATGCAGCTGGTTTCTCGCACGCTCTCTCCTCTCTCTCTCTTTCCACAGAGAATCAATCTACACGTGTCACACTTTTAATCTCAATATCTTAGCTTCACCAATGATGTATTCGAACTCCGGTCCGGGATCTTTATCACCCAATGGAAAAAAGGAAGAAGTGTGTGACTATCTGATTTGGATTTAAATAGAGGAGGAAATAAAAAGATTGGTTCCTGTTGGAGAAGGAGCGATTCCAAGAAACGCAGGATCACATTTAAGTATTTTCCTCATCGGACGATCAATTTCAACCGCTCCTCGTTTGTAAAAATCGACAGTTCCAATGTAAGAATGAAAATACTGCAGGAACCCTCCGAAAAAAGTAGCATTGGGGCTCAGTGAGACCCCCTTCTTACCTGACCGTAATTTATAGAGAGCCTTGGTTAAGGCCTTGGTTAAGGCGCTTTACAGATAATTCACAACAGTGCCACGTATGAATGTAATGGTGGAGATGAGGTGAATGAAATCGACGAGAGGAAGCAATGGGGGGCGAATCTGTGGCGTGAATTCGGTGAAGGGGAAATTGACAGAGGTGTGGACTCGAGTCATGTGACTTGGACTCGAGTCAGACTCGAGTCATGAATTTGATGACTTCAGACTCGACTTGGACTTGCATAACAATGACTTTGTCCCACCTCTGAGGTGTGGACTCGAGTCATGTGACTTGGACTCGAGTCAGACTCGAGTCATGAATTTGATGACTTCAGACTCGACTTGGACTTGCATAACAATGACTTTGTCCCACCTCTGAGGTGTGGACTCGAGTCATGTGACTTGGACTCGAGTCAGACTCGAGTCATGAATTTGATGACTTCAGACTCGACTTGGACTTGCATAACAATGACTTTGTCCCACCTCTGAGGTGTGGACTCGAGTCATGTGACTTGGACTCGAGTCAGACTCGAGTCATGAATTTGATGACTTCAGACTCGACTTGGACTTGCATAACAATGACTTTGTCCCACCTCTGAGGTGTGGACTCGAGTCATGTGACTTGGACTCGAGTCAGACTCGAGTCATGAATTTGATGACTTCAGACTCGACTTGGACTTGCATAACAATGACTTTGTCCCACCTCTGGAAATTGATGACGGTAAATGACGATGAATGGATTGCATGGAATGGGGAATGAGTGGTGGCCATACGATGAAGAGGGAGCGCTAGCGGTGGTGGTTATGAGTCGGAGATTAAGGGGGGAGAGGAGTTCGTGGAGTAAGCTAGAAAACAAGAAGTGAGTTGTGAGTGAGGAGTGTAAGCTAGTGAGCAAAGGTGACCGCTTGATGTGGAGGTTGAAGTTTGATCCAGTGAAGGGGGTGGGCGAGGAGAGAGAGAGAGCGAAAAGCGTGGATTGAGCACAAGGGGGAGGAGAAACAGAGAGATTGCCATTCCAGATTCTATCATGAATCCAGTAGGAAGTGACAGACGAGAGCCGGCTGAAGAGTCGGAGTGAAGTTGGAGATATCTAACAAATTGGTCTGAAGAACACAAGTCCGTGGTACTAGTTTTTAAAAAGGCCTGTACGGTACGCGACTTAATTTAGCAATAAAAACAAAACCTCTCCGGTGGCTCGGTGGTCGAGTGAGCGGCACGGAATTCGAAGAATGCGAATTCAAACCCTGGCTGGAGATTGTCTCTGCCCATCATCAATCTGGGATCAATAAAATTATTATCACTTTGGGGGGGAGAGGAAGTCATGTCAGAATCAGAATATTTGTTTATACTGGAGGAATCCGATGAGTTATAAAGCTCTATTTCACAGATGTCCAGTAGGGGCATGTAAACACGCTATAATAACAAGTAGTATGAAAACATGATGTGAGTGCAAAGTACAAGAAAGGTAAACAAATTACCGAAAGACACACAAACAAAACTAAACCATGCCCATCCTACCAGGCAAAGCCCACTAAGGGGTTCACTTGTTTTTCAGAAGCGATCTGACCACAAATGAAAGCTCAACAAATTGGCCCAACATTTGGGTCGACTCGACCCTCGCCACAGAAATGTGGAATGCCTACCACTGGCTCCGGACTGCAAATGGGGCGTGGGAGGAAATGAGTCCAAATGCCCCAGTGCTCAGTTGAGCAGAAAATCACTTTAAATCTTGTCTAATTAGATAAAATGCTTTCTCGTTTACATACAAATTTGTTTTTAGCTTGTCCAGCCACAAAAGCACTTAGGAGAGGACAAAGACCTGCACTCTATAAGAGAGGTTTGTTTGAGTTCGATTGCGTGAATATAAATGCTTCGTTAAACCAGCCACCACTCGACAAAGCCAATTATTTAAGTTTGTCACGTAAACAGAACATGGTAATCATTAAAAATACAGGTTTTTGGGTCAAATCGCGTAAGTATAAATGTGTTGTAACCCTCCACCACCCGACACAGCCAATTAGTAAAGGGTTGTCTGGCAAATCGCCCGATGATGCTAAAGGAACCCCCCATGCCAGGAAACCGTTCTGGATACGCGCCTCTGCTCCAGCAGCCGACAATATAAACACCGCCACTCGGTGGTCTGAATCATGGGCGGCTATGGACGTGGAAAACAAAAACATCATTCACGATCCGGCGGTGGAAGTACCGGGATTCTCTCTTCCACGACGACCTTGGACCACGCTGAACCGCACTCGGGCCCAACACGACGGATGCGCGAACGCGTTCCGTAAATGGAAGATCAAAAAATCGCCCAGCTGTGATTGTGGAGAAGTCCAAACCATCAAAGCACATCACCGATGAATGCTCCATCCATGCACATCCTGGCGGTATCGCTGAAATCCACACTTTGTAAACCACATCATTGGACTGGATGAGGAACCTTTGCATTAATTTATGACGATCATTAACAAAAAGAAAAATGTGCTTTTCACAATGCCATACGAAAGAAGAATTACCAGCGAAACGTCGTACTACTCAAATTGTAAATGCTGTGGATTTACTCTCCAACACACCGGTGGGCTGAAGCAGTAACTAATTGGCTTTTTGTTTACGTGATAAATCCCTTACTAATTGGCTGTGTCGGGTGGTGGAAGGTTACGACACATTTATATGTACGCGATCTAACCCAAAAACCTTTATTATGAATATTGGTCGCGAAAGCCTACGTGTTAAACTGACATGACAATTAGTTATTAATTCAGCAGGCCGGTGTGTTGGAGAGTAAGCCCACAACATTTACAATTCGAGTACGACATTTCGCTGGTAATTACAACCAACCTCATCAGGCGATAGCCAGAATTGTGGAGAATTCCTTCCTGTTTCAGTTTGAAATAGAGGGGGTAAAGTGTCAGGAGCAGAGACCACCATTGTACATGGCCGTCGTCGATTTGACTAAAGCTTTCGAGTCTGTTAATCATGACGTGCTATGGAGAATCCTTCTAAGATATGGCTGCCCAACAACATTTGTAAACGTCCTCCGTCTTTTGCGTGATGGCACAGAGTAAGGACCGGTGAAAAGCCAAGGCTGCATTATTGAGCCAACTTTTTTCTCCATCTTTCTGGCAGAAATGCTTCATCTGACAGAGAAAAGAACTTCCCAGAGGCATAAATATCACGTACAGGACAGACGGGAATTAATTCAACATCAACCGTTTCAGAGCCAAGTCGAAAACATCAATCACATCCGTTGTTGAATTCCAATGTGCCGATGATGCCCAAGTCAGTGTCTGCTCACAAGCTGACCTTCAGGTCATCGTCAACACATTTACAGATGCTTACGGCAGGATGTATCTAACAATCAATACCCAGGAAAACAAAGATCCCTTTCCAACAAGCTCCGGGAGGACATCTACTATCCCCTGCAATCACTACCAAAAATGAAATAGTAAAATACGTTCCCAGTTTCCCATACTTAGGCAGCCATCTCTCTAGCAATGTCTTAATGGATTATGAAATCTAAAATCGGATTGCCCCAGCTAGTTCTGCCTTTGGCAAACTGAAGAACGGGGTCTTTGAAGACCACGACATCATCACTAAGGCCAAAGTGGATGTGTATAATGCTGTGATCATTCTACCTATCGCAAACACATACAATCTCTAGAAATGTTTAATCAATGCTGCCCGAGAGGCTCCAACACACGCAATTCCACTCTTCTGTCAGTAGCTGGTGCTAACACCGTAGTGACCCAATATATGTCACTACACTAGTAACGAATTGGCATGTTCTGTTTACGTGACAAACCTTACTAATTGGCTGTGTCGGGTGGTGGCAGGTTTAACGACACATTTATATATTTGTGCAATCTCTCCAAAAAAACCTGTATTATGGAGGAAGTCAACAGTCTACCATAGCGAGAGTAAACCCTGCCATGGCAATGTGGAATTTCCCCACCTGGTACAAGGCCAACAACAGTAATGAGCACTGGTCAACACTTTTCAGAGTATCAGACAAAGCATATCATTGTATGCTCCATCTAGCAGCGGAGAGGCAAAGGGTTGACTTATTACTATGCTTTTGTCCAGTGTGAATGAGCTAAACACACCAAATTAAGCAAAACAAATCTGTACATGGTGCCTTTAAAAAAAATGTTGAAGTGGGGGTAGGAGTCGTGGGTTTGGGGAAAAAATCTTCCCCCTCCACCCCAGAAATTTCACATTCTGCACCCACCCAGCCACCCGCCAGATCTCTGCGAGAGAGCACAGATGTTGGTTATAAGTGAAAGTGGATGCAGACTTTCTTCAGCAAACCTTTCCATTCGTGGCGAGCTGAATCAGACTTTGAGGCACTTTAACGGAATTGAACTGCTTTACCCTAGATCAAATTAATAGCGAAAAAAAACTACTGTTTTATCACAGCTTTCTACTTTAAAGAGAGCAGAAATTGCTAAACATTTTCAGCGAGTTTTTTTTTTCCTCCTCTTAAAAAAAGCGGGCCTTTAAAAATGAACACGTGGAACATTTTAGCTCAGGGCCTTTGGCTCCTGAGGCTAGGGCTGCTGTGCGCATTATTTCCACTCATTTGCAGCTCCGAGCGTCAGGCCACGCCGCCCAACTCCAATCGCTTCGTCCGGTGGCGCAACAACGGGCGCGTCTACAGCCTGCAGTCGTCGGGCCATCAGTTCGTGGCAGCCGGTGGGACGGCGCATCGTCACATTGCGCCCACGCCACCGTCGTTGGCGGAGAGCGACCGTGCCGCCACCGCCACGGCCACCAGGAGGGCCCCGACAAGAAGGCAGGCGTCCGCGCGAAGCGCCGCCCAGAGGTGGTGGCTCGCAGGGGAAGGTCGCCGCCGCCCGGCGACCCCGAACGTGGACCGCCGGGGAGGGAGGCGTCATCCCGCCGCAACCGCGGCCGCCGTGGCCACCCAAGTCCAGGTGGCGCAAAGTTCGTCCAGACCCAGCCCCGTGCGGGCTCGGTCCGGCGCAAGCGCATTCCGGCCGACGGTTGCGGCTCCGACGAGAGGGCAGCAGCAGCAGCAGCGGCGGTGGCAGCATCAGCCCGAGTCGGAGCCGCCCTTCTCCGCGTCCGTTCACGACGGGCAGCCGCCCGCGGACCGGCAGAATGAGAACGGGCAGAGCGGCGGGGCGGCGACGGGAGCGAGGGGCAACGGGGCGGCGGGTCGTAGGGACGGCATGCAAGGAGACGAGCCCTACTACCCCGGCTACTACTACAACGAGTACGGACAGGAGGAGAACCCGTACTACATGCAGTACTACAATCCCTACGCGTACTACAATAGGCGGGTGGCTGTTGAGAGAAGTCAACAGCAAGGTGGGTATTTGGTCCGTGTTGCTGATAGCTGTACGCATGTGTTTTTTTTATTATCACCGAGCACCCGGTCCAAAATAGCAAGCGGTCAGCAAAAATATCAGCACTCTTGAAGGTGTAATAGATAGAAGAGTTCATGCTTTTCTTGAATTGAGCAGAGTTATACAAACTTAGGAATAGAGGCGATGAGAGGGCATTTTAAATTTGACCAGTGCGACGGGAAAAGCAGAAAGATAAGTGCTGTGCTGGTTAAACACTGCGGATGAGATGAAATAGTCACCGTGCTAGACCGACTCCTCAACACGTTGGGGTGGCTTGTGTCAAGCTGTGTAGTGCTGTGGTCAAAGCACTTGATTCGCAAACAGAATGTCCTGCCGTCAAATTCCCATCAGAGACAAATCCCATCATAATTCCTCCAAGGTCAATACAATGAGGACCGAAATATTGGAAAACGACAACAGTTGTCACAACAATTTACTTGCCCCTACCATAGGAATGTGGAATTTCCCATTGCCACTTGAGGACCGCTAATATGAATAAACAACCATTGCGCGTTTGAGCACGGACACAGTGACTTTCAGAAATGAATGTGGTAGTCTTGCGACTCAACACTCCCACAATTGGAAAGTAGGAATTACCATCGAGGGGCTTTGGGTGTCTAACAGAGATGAGCACTCTACAACACTCCCTTGATTGTAGAGGCTGGAGGCGTAAGAATTTGTGATTGGGGGTTAAGATTCTTCAATTTAATTGTTAGCCAGAACCCACAATAATCCAATGCCTCTTTGGTTCTTTCGGTAAAGTCACGTATAAAGATAAAATAATAAATTAAATACTAGCATACGACGTTTGGATTGCAACACAAGCAATGATCATCAGGTATAAATGAATTAGAAACACAAATCTAGTATACTTAGAAATGTAATGTAATACAACAGAAAGTCGGATAACATAACAGTCAACACCCTACCTGGTTGATTACGTTCTTCCTGAGAATGCTATATCTGAGAGAGAGATAAAATTTAGCATTCTCAGGAAGAACGTAATCAACCAGGTAGGGTGTTGACTGTTATGTTATCCGACTCTCTGTTGTATTACATTACATTTCTAAGTATACTAGATTGGTGTTTCTATTTCATTTATACCTGATGATGATTGCTTGTGTTGCAATAGAAACGTCGTATGCTAGTATTTAATTTATGATTTTATCTTTATACGTGACTTTACCGAAAGAACCAAAGAGTAATTCCTGCATCTTCTTGGTTCTTTCGGTAAAGTCACGTAGAAGGGAAGTAATAAAATAATGAAAATAAAACATAATAAAATAAAATAATTCTCACGACGTTTCGGCTACAACGCAAGCAGCCATCTTCAGGTGAAGAATGAGACAATGCCAAGCTAGGAGCTTATATATAAGCTGCGTTGGAGGTGGAAGAAAGAGCGCCTTAACAAAAGAATGTGCATATGAAGAGGAATTTAGCATAATTCCTGCAGTTACGAAAGCTCCAAATTAAATAATCCAATGGTTCACCCTCCCGCCACTTGCATTCCAATGAATGATTGCGTTCCATGGTTGTGATTCAATTTGATAATTGAGTGTTTTGTTAACGTCGTGCTCAATCGCTTCGGCCACTAGTGGTTTGCAGGGAGTCAAACCAAATTGCACAAACCGAAAAACTAATTATTTATTCTTACTCATGCAGATGAATGCGCGTGTCCTTTAGTTTAAGAATCAATATGAATAATAGGTCCATTACATGTGAAGCTTGCTCTTTGAATACATGTTTGATAATATGCATTATTGAGTGTGTATGCATTCATCCATCTATGTATGTATGTAGGCGTGTACGTCATTTTCCCCGAGGCAGAGTTACTAAACATATATATATTTAAAAATCCACTTTTATTTCCACTCATAACATAGGGGCACTTTCGTTGAAATTAATAAACTGAACATTTAACAATGGCTTCAGCAGCAAGTGAACCATCACTTTGGGAGCCAAATCTGAAAAGTACCGACTGCTTTTTTTTGTAAACACAATCTAATTACATCACCCACTACTCGGCTCCACAACACTGGGAGCAAGCCACATGTTTGTTCGTTGAAGCAATCGTTTCCCATCTGGGAGTACAAGGAATGCGGTGCATCAGGGGACATTCCATTCTGCCACTGTATATGTTGTTTATTGCAATGGCAGTATTCCAGAATATACGAAGACAAAGATCCCCCGTATATCCTTAACAGAAGGTTGGGGCAAGCGCTGTTAGTGAGTACCTTTGAAGGCTGGCACAGCACACGAGGGGGTGGGTGGCCAGCACCATGCCCGGCCGCCTTTGTCTCCCCAGTAGGCCCACGAATGGTTAAGATAATCGTCACTGCTCTTGGCCGGGAGTCGAACCCGGGTCGCCAGGTTCATAGCGCAATGCGTTAACTGCTATACTACCGCTGCCCACCAGAATACACACACACACACACACGAGCAGCACCCGGTACAGATGCTGCAGTGGTGTATCTCATAAGCACACTGGACAATGCAGAGAGGTTGCTGGTTCAACCTCCGGGCATGGCAGTTAAAACAATCTGAAAGTTGCTAATATGGACCCCGCCAGCGGTCTGATAAATGTTTAGCCAGCACAGTTCGTCGATCTGAAGGTTGCAATGTGGTAAGGCAAGGGTCGTGGTTGCTCCTACCTCTTCCGAGATGTCTGGCCAAAGAAAAAAAGAGCATGGAGAGGAGTTTCCTCGAGTGATGGCCCTTCCGTCAGCAGGGCACGGGAGCAAAACATTGCAGGGCCGCACTTTTGCCTTTCACATTCACCCTCCCCTTTAACTGGCGAGTCAAAGTGTTTCCGTGGCACGTGTCTTTTGGGAGCTCCGTGCCAACGCCAGAAACGCCACGTTCTTCTGGCAGAGGCTCGCGTCTCCATAGGATGGCCACCGCTTAAAGAGTAGATGTTTAAGCAAATAACATATTTTTATTTTATTTTGTCATTACAAATAAAGTATGCATTTTGCCTGATAGCAGATGCCAAAATAGCACGTTTTATGATTGAAAACTGCACGTGTTTACTGGCAAAAAAGTCCCGTGATGCACATGTTTCCATCATTACAGATTTTACTCAGATCCATAAACATCTCATTATTTAAACAGTATTGATATATTATTTTTAATTGCACTAAGTCTGCTTAAATAATGATTTCACGCCACTGTGGTATATTATGTAACTTGTCCAGTGCATAATGGTCTCGTCGCTTGTCGCATGCGTAACAAGATACATAAACATTATGCAACCGATAGCGTAAAGCGTGTGTGCGGACCTTCTTTCGCACCGCACGTAGCCAACCGTGTTAATCAGAGGGGCAATTTAGAATTCATGCAATTATGGTTTTGCGTCATTCTTTATATATATTGTGTTGATTTAACTCGATTTTATTTATTTTGTGCCTCTCACTGCATTGTCATGAGTCAAAAAATGACCTTGCGTTTGGTGACATTGTATGTTGTGCAGCCATTTGTCAATCCACTGCTTGGATGAATGTCTCCACGACACTGTGTTGGTCATGGGGGCTGTTTGACCATACTTCATCATGCCGACTCGTGTGGGTGGGTGAAGGGGAGAGCCCAGGACCGGTTCAGATCTCACTGGCACTGATGTTAGCCTTGGCCAGGAATTAAACTCGCGTTACAGGGTTCAGATCGCAACGCACCACGACTTTACAGGTGTTATATAAACATCTCTCAAGTGCCTTCACCTCTTTGTCCACACGAGGGATGCATCGTGCACGAGGGGCCTGCAGGGAGTATTTGCAACGTGGCAATTCAACCGACATAGACGACTTAACTAAAACAAGATCGGAAAAATGATTAAAATCACGTGAAACAGGTCCGTAAAAAAAACCGTGCATACGCATGGGTTACGTAATGATTTCCAGCATGCGTTTGTCTTTGGAAGAATGTATTTATTTGGCAGCACAGAAGCTGACGGGTAGCCGTTAGGACAAAATGCGTGAGCATGTATGAAGAACTTGATCATTCTTCTCCAGGATGATTTCCAATTAGCTACACAACTTTACACTAACGTTTATACTAAAGTTGTGTTCATATTGGAGCTGTGTTCGCCCCCCCACCCCCCACACTGCTTATTAACGATGGAAATCAGATTCAAAATCTGTATTTATCCTAGAGAAATCCGATGTGCTCTGAAGTTCTTTTCCACGGATGTCCACTAGGTTCAGGTCGGAAAGGTACAACAGCAAACAATACACAAAACACGGTCGGAGTGCAGCATATAGGAAAAGTAAGCAAATCACTATGAATAAATATACGAATACTAAACTCCCACTGAGCTATATAGCTAGTTTTCAGAATCGATGTGGCCGAAAATGATAGCTCAACTAAGTGGCTTATCACGTGGAAACGTATCGCAGCCAAATAGTCTAAGACGGACATACTGAGCTAATGATGGGTAAACGCTTTTAACATTAGTTGAAAAACGTAAAAAAATATATTTTGCGAGTGTTTCTGTGTGTGCGGTCACTGGTGACTGGAATGAGATCATCAGCTCTCTCCGCTTGATAAACAAATTAATTCATAATAGAGGCTTTTTGGGGTTAGATCGCGTAAATATTATAAATGTGTCGTTAAAACCCGCTACCACCCGACACAGCCAACTAGTAAGGGTTGTCACGTCAACAGAACGTGCCAATTCGTCACTAGTACAGCACACGAGTTGGTCAGCCGGTGGAGAGTGTTGACAGACTCCTAACACACTATCTCAGGCACAAATTTGCCTTCCACCACAGGGGGGTTCCATTATCACCACAAGTTCACTCAGCGCGTCAACTTTATTCTATTTCGCGGTTCGGTTGGAGAAAATTCTCTCCGCCCCCCCCTCCACCCTTCCCTCTCCTTCCCCTCCCCTGAAATGACTACGTTCCCAAACGTTGCCACGACGTGAGTCCGGGGGTGATAGTGAGCCCAATCGCTCTTCCCTCCCCTTTACCTTCATGGGCTCCTGGCCTCGGGCTTGTCGCCCGTGGAATACTTGCAAAACTTTCTCCCCTTGATCGCTCGTGCTTTGTAATCGTCTCTTGTTCAATACCAAACAAATGCATCGTTGGCCGAACCACCCCTGGGGATTCTAGCTACGCAGGATTTGGACGCAATACAATACGCCCCGAAGGCACCCAGTCACGCTGCTGTGTTTAATTGCCGACGAGAGTATGACCAAAACTACGGAATATCACATTTTCCTATCCACAGCCACACACAAGGGTCGTGAGACAATCGTCGTAGATCCACCAGGGCAGCTCGTTGACTTAGAGGTCAGGACGCTGAGTTAGAGCCAACGAGATGCTGGGTTCGAACCCAAGCAGCCTCCTCCCATTCAATTAGGTTCTCAAGCGTAGCGAATTGGAGATGTCAGTGACTTGCACAGAAAACCCCAACGCGTCCAATGTGCTTTAATTCCAGCCCTGGGAATTAAATATATCTTGCACGACCGGGCATACTGCTCAGTGGCAGGGCATGTTAGGCAAGTGGCCCCACTTGTGAGAGTTTATTGAGGATGCTTCGTGCTGTGATGCCGAAAGCACAATCGGCAAAAAATTAAGGGGGAGAATACTAGTTCATTACATCATCAGTTAATGATATCAGATGATATTAGATGATTTGACATTGATGACATGAGAGTAAAGGGAAATCAAGGTGCCTCCTTGCTCAATCGAACATCAGGGTGGCGCCAATTTATGTCTGCGACTCTGAGCCAGTGGTGGAAATGGCACAATACTATGGCAGGGACCAGTGTAGACAAAACGATCAAATTCCCACTGTGCTCATTTTATACACCATGTCAGGATGATGGTGATGATGACAACGATGTTGATGTTAGGCCGGGTTGACCTTCGAATGTAATTTAAACTCGCGACCTTTCGATCGCAAGGGTTCGGCAAGTCCGAAGCTCTGTCCACAGCGAGGTAAGCCACTTCTTTGAGCTCTCATTTGTGATAGCCAGGCTTTGCCTGTATATTCGGGTGATTTGTTTACCTTTTGTTGTACTGTGTACTCCTATCATGTGTTGGTGTTGTTTACTGTTGCAACGTTCTTCCCCAACCCTAGCAGACATCTGTGAAAAAGAGCTTCATAGCCCATCGGATTCCTCCAGTATGAACAAATATTTAGATTTTGTCTCTCGCTGGTTTAACGTTTTGCTCTTCGTTGTTAAATTCCCCCCAGGGCTTCCGGACTTGGTGCCAGACCCGTACTACATTCAGATCGCCACGTACGTGCAGAAAGTCACAATGTACTCGGTGCGTTGTGCGGCCGAAGAAAGGTGTCTGGCAAGGTGAGTGGGAATAAGACACGGACAAGAGATCCCCCGTGTTAGCCTGTTACAGACTGTTGGGGGGCAAGTGCTATTAAGCGAGCACCTATGAAGAACGGCACGGCACACACCGCACCACGTATTCATTTAAGGCTGAGCCGACCTAGGGGAGGCCCCAGGACCGGTTCAGATAATCGCTACTGGTGTTGGTGGCCATGAATGGGAATCGAACTCGGGTGTCCGGGTTCGTAGCGCAGCACGCTAACCGACACTGCCGTTCACGACATTGCTGATAATTGTCACATCAATACAGCATTGCACGAGTAACGATGATGAAGATGTCGACGTTGATTGTAACGATAATGACACCGCGTTGTTGAACACGAAGATTAAAGATGATTGACGGCGATGATCGAAATTGATTGATGACAGCGGCGATGGTTACTGTTATTCATAATGCTACGCCGATTGGGAGAGATCACCATAATGAGGATTCTGATCATGATGACACTTACAAAGATTCATTTTCGTTCATAATTGTGATTGTGACCCTATGATGATGATAATGGTGGCAACTTATTGATAAATGATACCGATGATGATTATTATAATATTGATGATTGTGAGCATCATTATACCACAGCTGACAACAATGACAAGCGATGAACGGTACCTGCGGGTGATGACCGAGCACCAAACGGTGGCGACTGCGAATTGACCTTGGGGCCGCCCATAAATGACGTCACGCACCTAGGGGGGAGGGGTCAGACATTTGTGACGATGTGTGGTTTGAGAAATGTGACGTCACATCAAAATGTGTAACTTTAAATAAATATAAACAACACGTTCTACTTATTAAATAGACTTTTTAATTAATGTTTTCTCCTACAACATCAGAGTGCAGCGCCACATTAAATACGCACTACAATGACAATAGTTTAAAGCGATTTGAAGCATGCTTTATATATTTTTTTTGGGGGGGGGGGGGCAGAGCTTTGTGATGTCATATTTGAGGGGGGTCTAACTTTTTGTGACGCCGTGTGACGAAGGGGGGGGGGGGTCAAAAATTCGTCCAAAATCGCGTGACGTCATTTATGGACGGCCCCCTCGCGTTGTGCGCAGCTCGGCGTACCCGCACGAGGGCAACGACTACCACACGCGGATGCTGCTGAGGTTCCCGCAGCGAGTCAAGAACCAGGGCACCGCGGATTTCCTTCCGAGCCGGCCGCAGCATCAGTGGGAATGGCACAGCTGCCACCAGTGAGCCACCAGCCCTGCACCACCCCCACACAATCAGAGCCCCAGCCCTGCCCCACCCCCACACACTCAGAGCCCCAGCCCTGCACCACCCCCACACACTCAGAGCCCCAGCCCTGCCCCACCCCCACACAATCAGAGCCCCAGCCCTGCATCACCCCCACACACTCAGAGCCCCAGCCCTGCATCACCTCCACACACTCATAGCGCCAGCCCTGCACCACCCCCACACACTCAGAGCGCTAGCCCTGCATCACCTCCACACACTCAGAGCCCCAGCCCTGCACCACCCCCACACACTCAGAGCCCCAGCCCTGCACCACCCCCACACACTCAGAGCGCCAGCCCTGCACCACCCCCACACACTCAGAGCCCCAGCCCTGCACCACCCTCACACAATCAGAGCGCCAGCCCCTGCATCACCCCCACACACTCAGAGCCCCAGCCCTGCACCACCCCCACACACTCAGAGCGCCAGCCCCTGCACCACCCCCACACACTCAGAGCCCCAGCCCTGCACCACCCTCACACAATCAGAGCGCCAGCCCTGCATCACCCCCACACACTCAGAGCCCCAGCCCTGCACCACCCCCACACACTCAGAGCCCCAGCCCTGCACCACCCCCACACACTCAGAGCCCCAGCCCTGCACCACCCTCACACAATCAGAGCGCCAGCCCCTGCATCACCCCCACACACTCAGAGCCCCAGCCCTGCACCACCCCCACACACTCAGAGCGCCAGCCCCTGCACCACCCCCACACACTCAGAGCCCCAGCCCTGCACCACCCTCACACAATCAGAGCGCCAGCCCTGCATCACCCCCACACACTCAGAGCCCCAGCCCTGCACCACCCTCACACAATCAGAGCGCCAGCCCCTGCACCACCCCCACACACTCAGAGCGCCAGCACCTGCATCACCCCCACACACTCAGAGCCCCAGCCCTGCACCACCCCCACACACTCAGAGCCCCAGCACCTGCATCACCCCCACACACTCAGAGCCCCAGCCCTGCACCACCCCCACACAATCAGAGCCCCAGCCCTGCACCACCCCCACACACTCAGAGCCCCAGCCCTGCACCACCCCCACATAATCAGAGTCCCAGCCCTGCATCACCCCCACACACTCAGAGCCCCAGCCCTGCCCCACCCCCACACAATCAGAGCGCCAGCCCTGCACCACCCCCACACACTCAGAGCCCCAGCCCTGCACCACCCCCACAATCAGAGTCCCAGCCCTGCATCACCCCCACACACTCAGAGCCCCAGCCCTGCACCACCCCCACACACTCAGAGCGCCAGCCCTGCACCACCCCCACACACTCAGAGCCCCAGCCCTGCACCACCCCCACACAATCAGAGCGCTAGCCCTGCACCACCCCCACACACTCAGAGCCCCAGCCCTGCACCACCCCCACACAATCAGAGTCCCAGCCCTGCATCACCCCCACACACTCAGAGCCCCAGCCCTGCACCACCCCACACACTCAGAGCCCCAGCCCTGCATCACCCCCACACACTCAGAGCCCCAGCCCTGCACCACCCCCACACACTCAGAGCCCCAGCCCTGCACCACCCCCAGACACTCAGAGCCCCAGCCCTGCATCACCCCCACACACTCAGAGCCCCAGCCCTGCATCACCCCCACACACTCAGAGCCCCAGCCCTGCACCACCCCCACACACTCAGAGCCCCAGCCCTGCACCACCCCCACACACTCAGAGCCCCAGCCCTGCACCACCCCCACACACTCAGAGCCCCAGCCCTGCATCACCCCCACACACTCAGAGCCCCAGCCCTGCATCACCCCCACACACTCAGAGCCCCAGCCCTGCACCACCCCCACACACTCAAAGCGCCAGCCCTGCACCACCCCCACACAATCAGAGCCCCAGCTCTGCCCCACCCCCACACACTCAGAGCGCCAGCCCTGCACCACCCCCTGCACCACCCCCACACACTCAGAGCGCCAGCCCTGCACCACCCCCACACAATCACAGCACCACCCCCTGCACCACCCCCTGCACTACCCCCTGCACTACCCCCTGCACCACCCCCTGCACCACCCCCTGCACCACCCCCCACACACTTAGAGCCAAGCGCAGGGCTTCAATCTCTCCGTGAATATTTTCCGGGTGCCTACCGGTAGACGGACATTATCTCTCCTTCCTAAAGCTGTCTTCTGAATACGTCTCTTATATTAGCTCTCTTCCCAATACATCTCTGTCCTATCGTTTTTTCTGTCTCCCATGCCTTGTATCAACTTAAACTACTGTAAACTACTTATTTTACTATGTAACGCCCACTGAGCTATATTGCTCTTTTTCAGAAGAGGCCTGGCCACAAATGATAGCTTAACGGAGTGGCTTATCACGTGGACATCGAAATCAGCCAAATACTCCAAACGCGTGTTGATTCTGAATTTGGAGTGAAAAACCCGGAGGAACCGGAGAAAAAAATCACGTGACCATGGGGGAGCGAGACGTGCAAACCTGCAAATATAAAGGCGTTAGAGTCGGGATCGAACCCCCGACCTCCTGCATACCAGGCGAGGCAGTGAACATTTTGCCACCGTGCCGCCCCTACAGCGTGTGGGATGCATCAACCGTCCCACACGCTACAGATGTGCGTCTGTGCCAGACCACATTTACATCCCACCACCTGCTGCGCCCAAAATCAATTGTCACATCTGTGCACAAGAGGTGGCAGGGGCTTGGGGAGGCATTTATCCATCATCGGATTGACCACGGCTGACGATGAGGATGATCTCTTCCCACGTGACCAGTGATGCCACCCACGTGTCGCCTTGTTTTGTGCGTTCAGGCATTTCCACAGCATGGATTCCTTCAGCCACTACGATCTGCTGGATGCCACGACAGAGAGGCGCGTGGCGGAGGGTCACAAGGCCAGCTTTTGCCTGGAGGACACGTCCTGCGACTACGGATACGCGAAGCGATACACGTGTGCCGCTCACCAGCAGGTCCGTCCGTCTGCCTGTCAGTTTGTGTGCTACTATCTATCCATCCGTCTGTCCATGTTGTCCGTCTATCTGTCCGTCCATCCAATTATCGACCTGTCCGTGTGTCCACATGTTAGTCCATTTCTCGGTCGGTCAGTCTATATGCCCATCTGCCTGTCCATATGTTCAGTTGTCTGACGTTCATTCGCTCATCTGTGCAAACGTCTGTTTGTCCATCCATCTGTCATTGGTCCTTTTGTCCATTGCTTCTTCTGTCCGTCAGTCTATTCGTGGGTCCGTTTCTCCTTGTGTCAGTCCATTCATCCATCCATCTGTTTGATTGAATGGCTGTCAAGTAGGCTGTCTGTTGTGTTTATCTATCCTATAATTCCTCTGTATTTGTTTATTTGTTCATCCTTTTTGCTTTGCTGTCCTTTTGTTTGTCTGCCTGGGCACGTTTCTGTTTGTCTCTGCATATTTGTAGTCTGTCCGTTAAATTGTCTACGTTATTCTTCCATTCATCTGTGCATCCATGTATTATTCTGTCTGTCTGACATTGTTTGACAATCTGTCTGCCCTTGCATTTATCTGCTTGTTTTTTCTGTCTTTCAGTTTGTCTGTGCCTCTCTTCTGTTGTATGTCTGTCTGCCCTTCCATCCATCTGTCCATGAGTCGGTTTGGTTGATAAGGCAATCTGGACAATTGCCTCGACAGTTTTAATTGTGCACAGTCATTGATTGAATGGGTTCAGCCCATAAAAACTCTCTACCATTGAGAACCTGGGTGGCTGAAACTGGTTCTGATGCACTCAAATGGGCTCTGCTCGAGCCGTTGCGAGCTCTATCAGCCAAACAGCCACCCAAAAAGCCTAACTTTTGAAATAAAAGACGCATTTAATAAAAGTCAATGCAGGAATGTGACGCACAGGTAATCAAGCAATTGTCTAAGTCATGCACAGCACCAAAATGAAACTCATTGTTTTTTTTGTAGGTAACTTGGAAGTAAACTTTGAGGCCCCTAATGTTTAATACGCTGTAGGCTTTCGCCACCAATATCCATAATAAATGTTTGTTTGGGTTAAAGCGCGTAAATATAAATGTGTCGTTATCCCACCACTCTCCGACACAGCCAATCAGTAAAGTTTGTCACGTAAACGAAACATGCCAATTAGTTATTACTTCAGCACACCGGTTATGTTGGAGGGTCAACCCACAATAATTTACAATTTGAGTACTGTACTGTGAGGTTTCGCTGATGATTACAACCACCAGCTTCATCAGGCGATTTGCAAGAATTGTGAAGACGTCTTCCAGTTGAACTCTTTCATCGAGTAAAAGTCCCTAAATCTAAAAAAAAAAATGCTTCCCTCTCTCAGACTAACACCACTGTGCTGTTTTCATTTTTTGTTCTCATTTCTTGCAGGGATTAAGTCCTGGCTGTTACGACACTTACAACGCCGACATTGACTGCCAGTGGATCGACATCACTGACGTGGAACCTGGGCAGTACATTCTCAAGGCAAGTGCCCTATCCATATTCGAACATTTGGCATCGTCGTCGTCGTCATCATGGTCGTCATCATTGTCGTCGTTGTCATCATTGTCGTCGTCGTCGTCATCGTCATCATCGTCGTCATCATCGTCCTAATTGTCGTCATCGTCATCATCGTCGTCATCATCGTCCTAATTGTCGTCATCGTCATCATCGTCGTCATCATCGTCGTCATAATTGTCGTCGTTGTCATCATTGTCGTCGTCGTCGTCATCATCGTCGTCATCATCGTCCTAATTGTCGTCATCGTCATCATCGTCGTCATCATCGTCCTAATTGTCGTCATCGTCATCATCGTCGTCATCATCATTGTCGTCATCATTGTCCTCATTGTCATCATCGTCGTCATCATCGTTGTCATCATCGTCCTCATTGTCGTCATCGTCATCATCGTTGTCATCATCGTCGTCACCGTCGGCCCCATAAACTGCGACGGATCGTGACGATATCGTATCCTAGGAGCGGCGACAGGAGAAGTTCAGGAGATGCGGAGTTTATATTTTTTTATTCAGAGATGTTTCGGGGCAATGAGTGGCAGTGGGACAGTTGTTAATTCGACGGTCCATTGTTAAGACATCGTCACCCACATTCAGAATCAGAATCTTTATTTATCCTGGAGATGAAATCCGATGAGCTATGAAGCTCTTCAAAACAGATGTCCAGGAGGGCCGGGTCAGAAAATTACAACGACAAATAATAATAAAAAAACGATAGGAGTGAAAAGTATAGGAAAGGTAAGAAAATCACTAAAAAAGAAATGAAATTAAAACTATGCAAGTTCACAGTGAATAAGTACACCAATTCCCAAGGTTGGGCGAGGCACCTCCAATTATCACGTTTGGCTGTGTTCGGTGCGAAAGAAGTTCAGCGTACATGCATACAAGGCAGCAAACCCACAGCAAAAAACAGTCCCATGACCAACACCAAGAAAACAGAGTTGCTCACATGGCATTGCACAACAACGCTGCGGGGTGAACCTCAGCCTCCGTGTGTGCTGACAGCACAGGATTCCCTCGTCATCTTCCTCGATTTCGGCTATCTGCCAATCGCATCTAGAACTCGACACGACCGAGAGAGATGAAGTGATGCGATTAGGTGATGATTTCAAGTGATGATGCGCACCATAATCATCATTTAAGGTAAGTTTAGTTACAAATAATTACTTAATACTTTTATTTGCCTTTTGTTTATTGCAACCATTTATTTTTGGTTTGTGTTTTGATAATGCCCATGTAACGTATTTATTGCACGTAATTCATTCAAAAGATACGTTTTCGTCGGCCAATAACATGATCGGCGAAATGTGTTATTCATGAGCATCTCTGGAATGTACTGCATCTCTCATCGACAATAACGAGGGAATACCGTAACTCTCTCACTGGGTTCCCAATTCACTTTTGTATGCAGTGTTGGAAATGTGCCAGGACACTACGAAGACAAAGACAAAGATTCTCCCCCCCCCATAGTCTTAACAAACTGTTGGGGCAAGTGCTGTTAGTGAGCACCTATGAAGGCCGGCACGGCACACGAGGGGGTGGGTGGCCAGCACGACGCCCGACCGCCTTTGTCTCCCGAGTGGCGATATTTACTACACACCGCACCAGATACTCATTTGAGGCCGAGTTGACCTTGGGGAGGCCCAGGACTGGTTCAGATAATCGTCATCGGTGTTGGCTGTGAGTGGGAATCGAACTCGGGTGGTCGGGTTCATAGCGCAGCGCTAACCGCTACACCGCTGCACGACTGCGCATGCCACACTGGCACTTTTCGCAACGCCAACATGCGGAGATCGGCGCTTCTCAGAGCGATTCCTATCCCTATGCTGCCATGTTTCTGCGGAGGGGAATGGACGAGCGAACGTGGGCTGCGGAATGAATCGATTTCATGTCGACATGTCGACATTTCCATCTCGACCACTGCTTTTTATCCGAATCGGTGCCGGCCAGTGGAATAAAAAATGTTTTTTTGTGGGAAAATCGACAGGGCAGATAAATGTTAATTCTACCAAGCGGCGCCATTCAATGTACATATGGGATAAGTCAAGTTGAGGTTATCTTGGTTGACACCTTTCCTGGAGCCGCTTTATAAAGGTATTTGGCCTACTCTTCCATCATGCTGGCCAGACGTCCTGGAAGAGGTCGGTGCGTGTGTGTGTATACTCCATGTTGTCATGAAAGTCCTCTCGGTTAAATGACACCACAGTATTTTTTCCCGACAGCACTTGGGTCTGTCGCGTGACCTCTGACCTGCGAGCGTTCGGCACTTCACTTGACGTCCTTCCTCCGCACCTCCGAGTATCACGGTTTGGCTCCGTACGGTGCCAAACAAGACCCTCCTTTTCTCCCATCCTTCCCTCCATCCCTAGGCACCCCCATAATTGTTGTACCCACTAACCGCCCTTCCTATACCCCATCCCTATCCACCGTACTTTTAGCCACCCTAATTGCTCCACTCATAACCCTGCGTCAAACGCCTTGGATAAAAGCGCTACATAAATGTAAGATAATATAACACACATGCAGAGTGCACCGAGCCTGTTTCGTTTGTTGAAAGCTTGTGCGTAGTTGTGCATCGGCACACGTGCACGTGTGTGTGGAGTGTTAGTGTCGCGGTTAGTGCACTGCGCTACGAACCCGGGGACCCGAGTTCGATTCCAGCTCATGGCCGACACCAGTGATGGTTATCTGAACCGGTTCTGGGCCGCGCCTAGGTCGACTCAGCCTCAAATGAGTACCTCGTGTAGTGTACACACACCAATGGGGGAGACAAGGCGGACGGGCGTGGTGCTGATCACCCACCCTCTCGTATACTGTGCCGGCCTTCATAGGTGCTCGCGAACAGCACTTGCCCCAAAAATGTCTGCTAAGGCTACATGGGGGATCTTTGTATTTGTGTGTGTGTAGGTTCAGGTGAACCCGAATTATATCGTGCCCGAGATGGACTACTCGAACAACATTGTGCGGTGTGACGTGCGCTACACAGGAAACTATGCGTCTGCCTCCAACTGCCGCATCTCACCGTGAGTTTTGACTGAATCTGTTCGGCCACGGTTCATAAGTGAGATGAGATGCAACTTGTTCGCTCACTCACCCACCCATTAATTAGCTTCCTTAACAACGCACTCACTCACTGAACTACCCATTCACCCACCTACCCATTCATTCACTTCCTTACCAACACACCCACACAGCCACTCACTCACCCATTGACACACCTATTCATTCACTTACCCATTACATCTACCCACTCATCCACCTACCCACCCACTCACTGACCCACCCATAAATCCACTTACTCACTGACCCACCCAACCACCCAGTCACTCACCCATTCATCCAGTTACTTACTCACTCATCCATCGATCCACTTACTCACCGAAGCATCCACCCACCCACCCAACCACTCCCACACTCTCATAATGACCACCCACCCATCCTCTCGGGCTGCCACTTTTGGGTGATTTCTTGAATTCGTATGAAGGCTACGATAATAGGAAGAATTATCGAGTGAATAATATGATTACGCTTGGATTAATTTGAAGGCATGGATAATCTTAACATTGCTTAATATACACACAGATAAGAGGATTTGTACTTCAATACATGAATGGCCGAATGCATCTAATTCAAAGGCCCTTTCTGATGTCCTATGTCTTTGTCCTTACTGTGCCTTGCAGGTACTAACGTTCAGATGAATGGGACCTCCAAAGTAAATAACCACTCGCCATCCAAGTAACGGAGATGAGCTTTGACTAATCAGCACCAGCAATGTTGTACTTGACTCGGCATAAAGACCACGCGTGTGATTGCAGGAAGCCGACATGCGTGTAACATATTGTCAGTGAGCAGGTTTGCGTCTATTGGTGAATGTTACTCAAAGGGAAAATAAGTGAAGATTCAAAGATATAATTGCACAATTGCAGGTGTGTTGAGTGATACGAAATCGTCTGACCCACATTCCATAGAAGTGGTGTACCACTGCAATGGCATATGGGCCACACGCATATCTTGTATAACACTTGGCGTTTGTGATGACAGATTAACTCACAGGTCTATCGTTTAAGAGGTCATTGTAAAATTGGCTTGGTGTTAATGGACACAGAATATGTTGGCTTTGATTTACTCCGTGCAATGGCTTGCTTCATAGAACTACTAGTTGAAGGATTTTACACGATTTTGTTCTCTTTTAAATAACGATTACTGCATAGAAACTCTGTTGGAGTGGCAGCCGAGGAATTGGACGCGTCCGATAGGGTTACGTCCACCGAAGTTAATCAGTTCAAGGTGCAGGAGCCGGGAGGATGATTTTTCCATCGCAGCATCGCGAGAGACGGCGCAGGGCTTGGGGAGGCCTTCATCCAGCTGTGGATTGACCATGGCTGATAATGACTGTATTTAAAACACGCTCAAGCCCCCCCGACGCTCCTTTTAAACACCTCGGCTCTGCTGATCTCAATTGGTTTTCTCCGTAGGGGATGGACATTTCCACATTCCCATGTCAGGGAACTCATCAATCCATTTGGATAAATGGTTTTGACCTTCCTAAACCCAGGTGTGGTGCAGCCTCACCAAGTGGTACTCATTTTATCGATCCAACCCTAACGAGATGATGGCCTGATTGGAACCCTAGACTGTTGAGCACAAAAATGAATGAGATGAGCCGTCCAAAGTAAGCCATGTGTCTCCATTGGCGATGGAAATTCTGGAAATTCTACCTTCCTATGCCAGGGGCCAGTATATCATAGGAAAAAAACCCACTGTTGGCTTCCCATAAAGCAACACAATTTTTTTCATTGAGTACAAAATGAACAAGTAAAAAATACAATGCAAACCGTACACTCGCAAAGTGCGCAAACCGTACACATATAAACCACCAACAGAGGCGGACAATGCATCGTACAATTCTGTCCAACTCTCATACAAGTGATAGCATTAGTAAAGGTGTAACGATGCATTGATTAATAGATTAAAATCGATGCTCATCATTGAGATACGTTCGTCGAACTGTGTTTGTGTAAGTAAACTTTTTTTTTAAATTCATGTCTCATGTACTCGGGTGCGGCTTTTCGTAGGATCATTCACTTTTTGAAATCTGCAAGTCTTCCCGGGACATTAAAAGTCCCAGTTTTTGTGTCAGTTGTGCAATACTTCACCACTCAAGGCAATGCATTTACATGCACCCCTCCCTTCTTTCGGCGCTCTGAGAAATCCCTTCTTCCAATCAGATTGTCCTAGTTTCTATTGTGACCACTGCAGCCACACGTCGCAACTACGTTCACCACAGTGTTGCAATAATCTCATTCTCAGATCTAATTGAATTGTGACAATTCATCATCTCTGTGGGTGTTGAGATGATTCGTTACGCCTCGATTCGTGAATCACGATTTTGCTATCCATTCACTAATAACTGTCACCTGAATACACTTCTGACCTTATATTGCTCTTCTTTATCCATCTATCATATTTCCATACTCTTTGATTATTTCGGTAAAGTCACGTAGGTAGAATTTTTTTTTATATTTCTCTTCTTAATGCATCCCTCTCCTATCTCTTATAGATTGTGTTTTTTTTTATATTTCACTCATCACCTTTTAAGAAACGAGTTCTTTTGTTTGACAATTAATCAAGCGGCGACTGCCCGAAGGATGGGTTTGAGGTTAATGCTCGGGACTGGCTTGCGAGGGTGCAGCGCGCGACAGGTTCGATCCGGGCTGACGGGGGGGGGGGGGGGGGGCGCGAAGGCGAGCAGCGCGCTCTGCTTCTCACGTGGTGCTCATTTTGACGACCGTCGAGGAGAGGCGAGGCGGTGGTTGACGAGCATGCCGCCAGCCCCTTGCTCGGCCACCTCACGGCCTCCTTGTTTGACCTTCCTCACTTTGCTGCTGCTGCTGCTGCTTTAGCAACGTGCACACGATAATTGGTTTTGTTACCCTTCTATCTGGCAAACAAAACTGACACCTTTTTACAAGGAGTCATGTTTGCATAGACCGCAATACCTGCAGTCATAATACAAACAAAAGAACATAACTCTGATAATGTGCGCTGTCCTTGAAGTTGATTGGTCCACACCCGAGACAGCTTTCCTTAGAGCCTAGTCTCACATGGGTTGGACCAGATGACGCCAGATAGAAGGGTAAAAAAAAAACAATAATCATATTTTTACTGGCAAATGAGGTTCTCATAACGTGCACATGGACAAATATTACCCCCTTGCCCCCCCCCCCCCCCACAACCATCGAAAAAAAACTCACTCACATTCGTTCAAATACTTTGGCCTAAAATAAATAAAATATATATATAAAGTAGGAACGGTGCCCTTCTTCATCGACTTTTTCCTCGAACATTCCAAAGCTATCCTTGCGTACAAATGAACGCGACTTCGTTTCACGTAACGTGACCGCAACGTGACATTGCGTGTGCTATGAGGAAGGGCAATTGCTAGAAACGTTTCCTTGTTATAATATTTTTGTTTCATTTTCAAGGCCGCACAGCGTTATTGACGAACGAGTTGAGTTTTTTTAAATCCTTTATATTAAGTTCACTTGCTTGCTTAGGACCGTGCAAATCTTTCGGTCGTTTTATAACCCACTTCCCGTGATCCAATCGAGCTGACATTTTCCACACAGACTAGTTTTGCGTGACAATTAATGTTCGTGAAATTTTTTTCCCAAAATGTTACACTTTTTAGGACAAAAATATTATATTTAATTACCAATTGCTTAATGGTGCAATGCAATCATCTGACCCATAGGTGGCAGCCATCTCAAGCCAGAGGACGAGAGGACTCTAGCCGCCACGCATATAAAGGATTTATAGTGAAAAACTTTGTTTTTACTGGTTATACTTATTTACTCTCTCTCCCTCCCGCCCTAACTTTGAGTCGAGCGCTCCACAATTAAACCGTGTTCCATGAAATCAGCGGCACTGTTTTTGCCATCACTGATAAACGGCAATAGTTTGCTAATGCGTTGTCAGGTATCGTTTATATTGCACTGTTTATATTGTTATTAATGCAATTGTTCTATATATATAACATGTGTCGTATAGTTGGCCGTGACAATGAAGTGTTGTGTCGAGGATAAAAGCATTGTGACATTCTTTTGCCCAGTATATCATATCGAATGAGTTTATGAAGTAAACAAGATTGGCTTTGAAAAGTACCTTTCCGACATTCCCAAACTATGACTGTTTCCCCGGACATTTTAAAGCTAAACTTGTACGCAAATCTCATTGAAGTAATGTTACTGCTGTTTAAAAAAGAAAAAAACGTGGTGATGTTGGTTCAACAGACATGTTTAATGATATGCCGCTCTGAATAGACTGCCACTCCTGCAGATAATGAAATTCCACCTTTCAATTTGTAAGCCGACTACCGCTGAGACCACCCTGGGTTAAAATTCACGGTGCATGCCCGTGATTGAAATTGGCTTCTCAATTGTAATGAGTTGAATGTCTCAGCCCGGTCACCAATGACTGCACCAAAAAACAAACAACTGGTTATGTAAAACTTTAGTTCTGCACTCAATTTGACCAAAACTCCCAGCAATGAGAATTCAATTGTCGTTATGACTGAATCGTGGCGAACATCGCTCTGATGATTTAGAGCGAGTGGGGAAAGTGTTGCTCTCTACTGCGTGGACCACGTGTCACTTGACGGGACCTGAGAGGCAGCTCTGTAATATCCACTTCCGTGGGCTATTCCCTGACACAGAGAGGGGTTGCACTGCTGTGCGAGAGATCCGAAGGGAAACTTAATCTGGTGGCGTGACGCCGATATCGCAATCGGGGAAAACATAAAAAAACATCTTTTAAAGAACTTACGAAATTTACTTCTTTAAGTATTGTTGTTCAACCATTTTATTACTTTATATCGTGAATGCATTATATCGTTGTTCTTAATGACGTTTACAGAAGTATATTCGCAATAACAAATTTTTATATATTTTGAAATCACGCTTCACATGTTACTCAGTGGCTCAGGGCGTTAGATCATAAACTAGTGAGCCAAAACATTCAAGATCACGGATTTGAATTCCGGTTCATATCCTCAACTTAGTAGATTAGAAAACAAACAAAAAATCTGATATTTATCTTGAAAAACCTTCACGGATTTTTCGATTTAAAGCTTTCGTGACTGCAGGAATTCATCTTCTTGGTTCTTTCGGTAAAGTCACGTGAATTTACCGAAAGAACCAAGAAGAACCTTCACTGAATTTCAAGAATTTTTTTCAGGAGGAACCTGCCTTGGGGATTGTTTTGTTGTTGGCCAAGTTATATTTCATGGGCTAAAATGTGATGAGTGAACACGATTCAGTCCATCTCAGAGGCCAGACTTGTCGTGACAACGTCGTCTTGAGCAACACGTGCCCTTTTGTTCAAACGAGCGTGGTGGGGTGCGGGACCACATTTCTGTTGGTGATCTTACAATATCAGTGGAAAACACCACGCTACCACGGTGTCTCCCACGTCTCGCTTCAAACGAATTGTTACGCGTTTTTATTTGAACCTGGGAGGGATGATGTGGCTGAATTGACCTTCGACCTGGATTCAAACTTGTAACTGAACAGTGCCACGTGATCGATAGCTTACTCATAAGTAGAGCTGAGCGTGAATGAGTCGATTAAGTTAATTAATCCAATGCAGCATTGGCATCAACTATCTGAAGGTGAATACTGGGGGGGCTCCTTTAATACTGAAACCACACCAACATCCTGCCGAACAAAGGCAGGGAAACCCCCCTGCAATGCGGCTGAAGTTGCCGATGACATCAAAGTCCTCCAAACAATATCCTGTGAAGCGGCGCACGTGGCAAGCGTGGTGAAGGCCTTTTATTTTCCTCCAAAATATGTTTGTATTATTTGATGAGTCAAATAATGGAATCGATCAAAAGCAAAGTAATCAATTGCTTAAATAAGCAGATAGCCCAGCTCTAATCGCCCACAATGAAAATGTTTAATTTGTAACATTCACATTTTATATTAACTTAAAAAAATTAGATGATTTTTATCACTGCCAAATGCTAATCATATGAGACAATTGAAAGGAACGGGATCCTTTAATAGTTTTATGAAGCGAGCTCGCTTCATCCAGCAGGTCGGTTTTCGAGATAATAACCGTGTCATTATAGAGCAAGGCCTGCCACACGCTTAATGAGACAGACGAAGCATTGCACAAAACAAGATAGTGTGTCATTTACATTGCCACAAATCATGGCTGATGTTGAGTTCTTCAGCACATGGATTATAAGGCATACTTTACTAAAAGGAAACGTTGTATGTTAACTAGCAACAAATGTTATACTGTATTAATTGTACTTGACAGCATAACATGTAAATATGTTATTACCAATGGTGCTTTGAAGGTTTGAATTTTCGCCGGTGCTTTATCTGCTTGATGCAAAATACATATCTTGTTTATTCCTGTATATCCACGTGGGCGACGAGTAAACGAGTGCTAAACAATAAAGGAATATTTTGCCGAATTCAAAATACAATTGTGGATTTTATGAGCAATTGGAAACGTTTCAGAACACTCCGGTCGCGTCGTACAAAAGCATCGTTTTCGAGGTTCGAGAAAAAATAAAGCGTACAGCTTAATCCTAATTGTGTGTTTTTTGTGAATTGCTCTTGAGGCAGATTCATATATATATATGCGGCCAATGCATTCGACATCAAAAACAAACAGTGGGAATCCCAACACACTGCACCCTAAGGTGGTTTCACAACGTTTTATAACCGTGAATAAGTATAACCAGTAAAAACAAAGTTTTTCACTATAAATCCTTTATATGCGTGGCGGCTAGAGTCCTCTCGTCCTCTGGCTTGAGATGGCTGCCACCTATGGGTCAGATGATTGTCTGCCAGTATTAAGCAATTGGTAATTAAATATTTAATTTGTTTTCCCTAAACAGTGTAAAATTTTGGAAAAATAATTTTCACGAACGTTAATTGTCTCGCACAACGAGTCTGTGTGCAAAATGTCAGCTCGATTGGATCACGGGAAGTGGGTTAAAAAACGACCGAAAGATTTGCATGGTCGTAAGCAAGCAAGCACGCAAGCACGCAAGCACGCAAGCAAGCGAACTTAATATAAAGGATTTAAAAATAAATTGTGCTTAGCGGTGTCATGCCCTGCCCAAGCACCCCACGCACGTTTCTTGCTGGCCAACGTGAAGCCCTTTGACCTTGCGTATGCTCTCTAATCCATGCCCGTTCCTCCGTCTCTCACCACGTGTCATTCCCAGCGTGCATCTTCTCAGATCGCTTCCTTTGCGCACTTGTTTTGTTGATATCATTTTCTGCGTAGGTGTCCGTGTATCTGATCCGTACGTCAGAGCAACTACAATACGTTTAAATATCGATTTAAAGCTTTCGTGACTGCAGGGATTCATCTTCTTGGTTCTTTCAGTAAAGTCACGTAGAAGGGAAGTAATAAAATAATAAAAATAAAACATAATAAAATTATTCTCACGACGTTTCGGCCACAACGCAAGCAGCCATCCTCAGGTGAAAACCAGGTCCGTCGAGGCGACAATACGTTTATTCAAAAACATACGTTTATTCAAAAACATAATAAAAAGAAATTGTTTTGAGGGCAAACGCATTATGGAAAGCGTTATGAAATCCATTTCCATATGCGTGCTGTTTTTGGTTGATGTTTTTTTTGAATTCCCTTTATTGAAGCCAATTTGTTGGCGCTAAATACTTACACATAAGAGAATGTCCCATAAAACAAACAGGACCTCCTCACGATATAACAGGCCGCACATATTCGGAAGGAATTTGGCTGTGGAAGTTCCCTTTGGAAGGGCCGTTGCATTTTTTAAGTCGTAACGACCATTTCCAATAATAATATAAAAATATATAAAAGTCTAGGCTGTGCCAGGGAAATGGATGGCTGTTATTGTCCAAATGTTTTGGCGTTTATAGTTTTAAGAATGCAGCACACACACACACACGTGCACAAAAAAACACATTTCTGCGGAGGAAGCTGGTAGGAACGTTGGGTTGCTCGGTCAATGGCCAGGGTCAACGGCGGCGTGGTGTATTCCGCAAATATGCCCGACTGTGAGGGCGGTCACAAGCCGGCGTGAGTAGGTTAAACGTTGAGTTTTATAAGGGCACCACGGGGTGACCAGCCCCTCCCCATCCAGCCCCACCCCACCCAGCCCCACCTTCCCCACCCAGCCCCTCCACACCCAGCCCCTCCCCTCTCCACCTAGCCCCACCCCACGCAGCCCAACCCTCCCCACCCAGCCCCTCCCTCCCCACCCAGCCCCTCCCCACCCTCCCCTCCCCACACAGCCCCTCCCTCCCCACCCAGCCCCTCTCCACCCAGCCCCTCCCTCCCCACCCAGCCCCTCCCCACCCAGCCCCATCCTCCCCACCCTCCCCTCCCCACCCAGCCCCACCCTCCCCACCCAGCCCCTCCCCACCCTTCCCTCCCCACCCAGCCCCTCCCCATCCAGCCCCACCCCACCCAGCCCCACCTTCCCCACCCAGCCCCTCCACACCCAGCCCCTCCCCTCTCCACCTAGCCCCACCCCACGCAGCCCAACCCTCCCCACCCAGCCCCTCCCTCCCCACCCAGCCCCTCCCCACCCTCCCCTCCCCACACAGCCCCTCCCTCCCCACCCAGCCCCTCTCCACCCAGCCCCTCCCTCCCCACCCAGCCCCTCCCCACCCAGCCCCATCCTCCCCACCCTCCCCTCCCCACCCAGCCCCACCCTCCCCACCCAGCCCCTCCCCACCCTTCCCTCCCCACCCAGCCCCATCCTCCCCACCCTCCCCTCCCCACCCAGCCCCACCCTCCCCACCCAGCCCCTCCCCACCCTCCCCTCCCCACACAGCCCCTCCTTGCATGACGGACGGACGGACACAATAATCCCCTGTGGGCTGGTGTAACCAGGAGGTTCCTACTAGTACGAAGATCCCCTGTTTTGCCCACACAGACTGATGAGACAATCATGTACGTTGAATTTCTTTCGCACCGTACATAGCTAACCATGCTAATCGGAGGTGCGGGAAAGCGCTGTTATTGAACAGCCTGTGGAGACACTTTTTGGTTCTTTCGCTCAAGTCACGTAGAAAGAAAATAATTAAATAACATTTCGATTTAAAGCTTTCGTGACTGCAGGGATTCATCTTATTGGTTCTTTCGGTAAAGTCACGTAGAAGGGAAGTAATAAAATAATAAAAATAAAACATAATAAAATAATTCTCACGACGTTTCGGCTACAACGCAAGCAGCCGTCTTCAGGTGAAGGAAGACGGCTGCTTGCGTTGTAGCCGAAACGTCGTGAGAATTATTTTATTTTATTATGTTTTATTTTTATTATTTTATTACTTCCCTTCTACGTGACTTTACCGAAAGAACCAAGAAGTTAAATAACATTATACGACGTTTCGTTTGCAACACAAGCAATCGTCATCAGGCAGAACTCAATTTGAGAGAGAGACAAAACACAGACACGGAGACACACAGACAGACACTCAAGCAGAGAGAGACACCACATAGACACACAGAGTGTGTCTATGTGGTGTCTCT